GTTTCAACCCAGCAGAGTTTATGCGTAGTCGCAAGATCCGACTGCAAAACATATTGTGTGCACCACAGAATGCAGTTGGACAGATCACACGTTATCACCTCTCGTCAAAGGGCCCTTTCAACCGCCAGGTTCATGAGCCCTCGAGACCTCAGCAACTGGCGGAGGTGAAAACGCATGCTACAGAAGAGACGAATCTGGTTGGATGCGATGGGATATGTTTTCCCGTGTGTTTTGGTGCAAGAGCGGGGCTGAATATTTTGCACACTGCTGCACGTCAAGGAGGCCTTTGAGGGTTCATTGATTGGATCAAGAACCAGAGAGACGGAGGGGGTGTCTTGAAGCAAAACCTCAGAGTTCAGAGTCATCGTGGTAGGTTTGTGGGCATGCTGCCGAGTTGATTACTTCAAAATCATAAGAAACGAATTTGAACAAGTTCTGACGGAATGATACTGAATGGCTCTGTTTCAACAGGGTTTTGCATGGCTTTGGGGCCAAGCAGGCAGCATCAAATGGCCAAAACACACACACACACACCACGGGTAGCAGGATCCAACTTCTTTGAAGATCTCTTTGAAGATCTATTCTCACCAGCCGCCGACCCATGGGAGCGGATCTATCCTCACCGACACCTAACTTGGAGTCAGGCTTGAGCTCAGGATGCAAGAGCATTTTATCTATATTCCAATACAGTGCCAAATATGAGCAAAAGAGAAAATTTGGGGAAGAAACCTTGTGCATGTCCAGTGTTCGATTATCTACTGTTCTCTTTGTAGCTTCTGGACATACATGTTGCCCGCAAGTGCTGCTGCAGTTTTAGAGGGCGTTGGCCCAGATATGCGGGGTAAGCTCCCCCCGTTTGGAGCTCAGGAGGTTGTTTTGCGCTTAACAATGCGTGCTGAGTTTGTATACGAGATGATGAGACGTACATTCATCGTGCGAGTAAGGCACCTTGCCAAAATGACGTCGAGGAATCTCAGGTTCGACCTTTGTCCTTGTAAAGAAAACCACAGAATAGCATATGCCCAGCTTGAATCTTCAATTCAAAACTTGAAGAGGGCTGAAGAAAGGTTTGGACTGGGGGTTAGCGACGTTTTGCTTTTCTTTCTCATACTATTATCCATATACACTAAGTGCAAACCAGATGGCGCAGCAAAATCTCAAAACATGTGGATGTGTGATTGAGAAAGTCAAGAAGGGTAGAAAACCAGACTGATGAGTGGTGTGACTAGTGAAAGAACAGTCCCAATGCGCCAGCACTGCAAAGCCAATTTGCACATACCAAGAAACTAACATGGAACATGTAGTCCTCTCCTTCTTGAGCCAGGACAAGTGAGCCATGCAGTGTTGTTTCTCTTGCGCCATCTACTAAGGCCTAGCTAAAGGCAATGTTTAAAAACCTAAATTTCCCTCCTGCGCCATCTAAAAGCTGCGATTAGCGACCTTTTTGGGGTCCAGAGGAGGGGTGGCGTGACGCAACATAGCCCTATGTTCAAGTCCCAGAGGGGATGAATAGATGGCGCGCAAACCTGCAAATATGACATCACTCAACACCATCCGATTTGCAGTTAGAGTATTTTGCTAGAGTGTGTGGTGGTAATCAGGATGATGTTTGGGAGAGAGGTCGGTGTTACACATTTGCATAGTGGCTTATAACTTATATCTTGCTTCCATCCCCCTGAATAGTGAATCTGATACTGATACACTTATTTTCTTGCCTCGATTCAAGACTCAAGACTACAACATCGGGGGATATCGAAGAATGGCCATGCAATGGCACAGGTTCCGACACGTGGCAATTTGGCGAGATCCTTTTCTTGGTGGAGCTGCTCTTATATCGGAATACCCTTGAAGCAATCAGAGCACGGCTGAGCGTAGACTACTCTAGACCTCTCAATTTGAGGAACCATTGACCACCACACGGTGGTCTATGAGTATTTGGATGGGAGAAGGCTGATGAGCTTGAAGCAACAACCTCAGACATGCATGGGAGATGTTGCCAATGCAATGGCCACGGAACCGTTTTTTGACCTTCTCCACATCGTTGAGCTCATCCTCATTCATTTGAAAGAGCTTTTTGCTCAGAGCACTCACTGCTCACACGAAATCTTCATCTTGGATCGAAGAGAGTCCGTTCCGATACCTTTCGAGACAGTTGAGACAGTCGTTTGACCAAGCATGAGATCAGCACTTGCGGCCCGACACTTGACCAAGGCTGGACTGGGGCCGTGATGGTCTGCACTTTCATGACAGCCCGGAGGACGTTCTGAAGAGAGACGAACAGACGTCAGGATTTTTGGACAGCATGTGCAGAACATCAGGATACATCATGATTAAGCTTTCTCGACATCTTCAGGATAACGCTTCAATGCTAACTTGTTCACTGTGTGCCATGACTTTGTTCACAGGAAGCTACATGCTACATGCAAGAGGGTTTATCACTGTTTTCAGGCGAGAGACAAAAGACATCCAAAGATACATTCCAATGTCATGAAAGAACATGGGGACTTGCAGGCATCCACATTTTAATGTCATGAGTCATTAGTCGTTTCCTTGCAGTAGGACCCTTGCCCAAATGGCGATGTTTTAGAGCGGAAGTGGTGTGCACGCCTGACTCCGGCTGAAGCCAGACACCAAGTCGCAAAGGCATTTCTAGCTCAAGAGACTGGAAGGCTTCAACTTAACTGAATCTCTTCTGAAAAGTACGTAGGCCCGGAAAAAGCTAGGGTAGGGCAAGGGCTGCTGTTTTTTGTTTTTGCCATTGGCCTCGCCACTATTTGCCCCAGTGGAGCTGTTAGGGGTGCATAGAAATAGACTATGATTCCTTCCTTGTCTCCCTTCTTGTCTTTTCTCAAGGTGGCTGTCAATATGATTGTTTGCTGTGTTCCCCAAATAGAACTTGCTGTCTTGTCCCCTTCTTCTCCCCACGATGAATCTTCTTTCCTCACTAAAAGGGTGTCACACAACATGATGTCTCGATTTTCTCCCTTCTTTATCTGTCTCCCTGCGCAGCGGCCAAAGCACAGACTTGGCAACTGCTCATATGATTTGCTTGTGTATAATATATACAGTATATATATACTTTGTCGTATGCTAGCACGGGTCTAACCAGTAAATAGCAGCTTGCATTGCCCGCTTACAAGAAATATGGTTTGCCTTTACATGTCTGTGCTCGATGCTGGTGTAATCGTTTTTGTTCATTCGCATATATTCCAATTATATATGTCTATATAATTATTGCTAATTAATGTGTTGTTGTTGTTGTTGTTGTTGCTCTTGCCTATATTTTAAACTTCTTGATGTCGTGCTGCTGCATTCCTTGGGTGTTGCCGACAGTTTCACTCTGACTCCCCAGTTCAACTTGCTTGAATACGAACAAGGATGACGCATGACCCAGAAGGCATGACCCAGGCATTATTTCATTATTCAATTCACTCTTGCTTTGTGGCCGAAATGGATATGCTTCAAAGGGATTGGAATGCATGCAGTCATTGAAGTTAGTGCTCTGACAGACAATGTGATTTGATCTTTAGAGGGCCAAGTCATTTGAAACCGTTCCGTCAACTATTCCCCATATCTCACCACAGCTTCAGTTACAAATATAAGCTGGCGGTTTGTGATCATCTCTTCAGATTTCTCAGACGGTTTTTGACTTGGCATATCTTTTGAGGGCCTTAGAGGGCCTTAGAAACAATCCCTCGAGCCGACTCAAAGCCTCCCATTGAAAGCTGGTGCATAGAAAACAAGTCTCACACCTTTGGTTCGGTTGCGCGGTGCCCCAGGTTCTGATTCACTGGGATGCCGTGAAGGAAAAAGACTACGAGCTATCACGTTGGAACTGCCAACACTTCAGCAAGTACGCTCGCATACCTTGAAAGACCTTGTGCAACCCAATCGCTCTTTTTGCATGGAGTAAAAGTGTATGTTGACTCTTTGACTTGACATGTTTGACTTGTTGACTTAGGTACATGTACCAAAAGGCAGATGAAGGCGGAGCCGACATGGTGGCAACCGAACCACGGTGAGCCGATTCCCTCGATACCAGAAGCACAATTGCTCTGCTTGTTGCATGCTGCTTGTCCCTGAGACGATCCAGTGCTTCGAGTATGCTAGGGAAGGTGTACAAAGTTCCAAAGTCTGAAGATGCAGTTGAATGTTCAATGGGGTCAGCGAAACCAATTGTTAGTCAAGCTGAGCCATTTTGGATTTCAGAACATTTAGAACTCTTCAGGTGCCTTTCACTGCCGCGAATGAATTGTTGGGTGGCCAATTGGCCTCATAGGTTTGCATTCACTCTGCGGCAGAAACAGGGTTGAGAGTGGGGCTTCAGGGCTTGATGCCGCACAAGTTCATTTGAGAGTGGGCGTATTTGTGATGGCTGCCGGCAGATGAAGTTTGGTTTGCGAACCATTTCTTTGTGATTAAGGACTGTTGATTTAGGCTTCTTGCATTATCAACTTGGAGCTGAACATGCTTGAGAGTGCAGACTGCTCTATTTGGTTTGACATGTGAAAAAAACAGCACTATGACCTTTCTGCGCAAGCAAAACACAATTTGTCAGAACCCGCACAAACATTCCCCGCGCCCACAGCCACAGCCACAGCCACACCCCCATACACACAGACTTCACACATTTTGACAATTTCAAAAAGCACAACTTTTCAGACAACATCAACCATGGACAACTACAAGATGGTGTCAATGTGTTTTACCTAACAAGGCGCTTTGTGAGCTGTCCTTCGTGCAATCAACCAAGAGGATAACAATTTTCACGAGGCATTGGCGCAGAAATACGATCAAAACCATGCTGATGTTCTCGTTCGACTTGGCTTTTTGAGTTCCAACTTCCGGGCTTGGACTTTGATCGTCCAATTCGTGAGAAGTAGAGATCGTAGAGGCCCTTCGGACGAATGCTTCAGGTTCATCAAGTTGTCATAATGTTGACAATGATGTGAGTTAGAGTTTTTTGACAGGTTGTTTTTCCGCTTTGCTCCTGCAGCATTTTGCCTGAATCTTTTCAACAGTTTTAGTGTGAGTAGCAAAGTGCTATGGAATGTATGGAGCTCCTCGTCCTTTGTGCCCTGTGGCCAATGACTTCGATTGCATTTTCTACCTTCTACTCCCCCTACACATATTTGGGCACGGCTCAGGAGGAATATTTGGCGTTCCCCCACCAGGCCATCACAACAACTCCGAACAATGGGCTCGTGCTAGGAGGCACAACCACAGGAGTCTTGGACAGTACCTATGGAAATGGCGTCGATGATGCTTTCGCTGTGCATGTCTCGACACCAGGCGCATGTTCTTCGAAATCAATGAAGTCAAGGAACAATTAAAAATTTAATGTTCGTGTCTTTTGGGTTAATGTGAAGCAGTGGACGGATTTGCCCAAACTTGGTTTGTGACAGGCTTGACCGTTACAGGTTTGAACAGCGGATATGTACAAATCTACGCGACGGAATCCAGCGAAAAAAATGCCTATGGCTTGGCGGTAGCATATTCGTCAAGAAGCAATCTTATCATCCTTGCCGGATACACCGATGGTCACATGCAGCCCAGTGCCAACTTTGAAGGCTCCAATACTTGTGAGTATTCCAGCTGTACTCAAGATGCATGGGTTGCCGTATTCAATTATGAAGGGGCCATCCAGTGGGGGAAGCAAGCTTCATCTGGTCGCGATAACATTTACCAAGCCTTTCCATCCTCGTTCTATGACCGCTTTACAGCTGTGGCTGTGAATGGAGATCAAATCTGGGCAACAGGATACACGTCTCACGCGATCACCAGCAGCCACACCAATCAGGGTGGTGAAGATATCATCAGGTTTGTGTGGTCAGAGAGCGGAAGTAATATCAACAATTTTCAAGAGGGAAGCTCTGGCAACGATCGCGCATTGGGAATCCAGTTCAATAGCAACCAAGAGCATTTCGTTGGTGGCGAGACAACTGGCGATTGGGGAAATGGAAATGCAGGCGATTGGGATGTCTTGCTAATTAAGTACGGCCAGTCCGGTACACAGGAATGGGCCATAACCTATGGAGGTTCCGCTGAAGACGGATTTGCTGCAATGCAAATCAGTAGTGCCGGTGACATTTACATTGCAGGAAATACCAAAGGCACCTTGGATGGTGCACATGCCGGTGGCACGTATGACTATTTTCTCACGAAGTTTCGTGCGTCTGACGGCCAAAGGGAATGGTGCCTTAGCAGATCAATTTTGAAAAAAAGGCATGGCAACGTGATATCAAAGACAATGTTTGTGTGCGCTTGTTAAAACACACGCTTAGCCATAGCCACTTGGCATTTATTTGGATTTGCCAGGACAGTGCAACGCGGAACTTCGTACTCAGAGACAGTGCATGGACTATGGATTTCTCAAGCAGGCCACAGTTGTTGAATCGACTATATCCGTGAATGTTGTACAATGTTGCGCAGAACAATTTGGCCATGTTCCTTGCATCATCTTGCATCCATTTCAAAAAAAACACATGCCATCGCCTTAATTTGACCTGTTCTGTCGAAGGTCTAGCCCTTCCCAAGCCTGTTGGAAGCCAGACACTGTGTGACATGCTGCTTACCCCAACAGAAAAGGAAAACGCAGACCTCTTTTGGAGGCAACTTCTTGTTGGCCGGTACCATTGGTTGGGGCCAGTCTGCTTCGGTCATAATGGATGGACAATATGGATTTGGCTACACAGATGCTTTCCTTGTGGAGCTCACAGGTGGCTCAGGAGCGGGGCAAGCAACTCAGAACACTGCAATGCGAAATCTAAATAACTTCCCCCAGTCCTTTTGAATTGTATTTTAGTGTTCAACACTTTCGGAGCTTACGGGTCTTCCTTTCAAACTAAAAGTAAGTTGAAGTGCTTCTATCGGAGGTGGTGCGTTTTGAGGAGTACCAACGTGGTCTTCCACCGTGCTCCACGGAACCGACACCTATGACACAGGACAAGGTGTGGTTCAAGTCAACAGTGGCGAAGCTTAGATGAATTCAGCGCAAAGATCTGTCGATTTTCTAGCTCCTGCTTTGTCAAATCCCCAACGGCCCATTTCACTGATTTCTTGAACTCCCGTTCGGCTAAGAACATATATTTGATTGGGCAGACAAGAGATGCCTCCATCCATGGCACCAACCCATACGTCAACACTGGGGACGATATCTTCATCCAGGAGATCACAACGACTACGACTACAGGAACGAGCTTAACTGTCACGACAACATCGTTGACCTCGATCACCGCTACAACTACCTCTGCAACAGTGACGACTTCGACATCATCGTCAAACACGCTGACATCGACGACATCATCAAGCACAACAACATCGAGCACAACGACGTCGAGCACCACTACAGCAAGCAACACGACATCAAGCACCACGACAACAACGACGTGGACAAATACAAGCTCGACTGTCTCGAAGACTACTTCAACATCATCAACCTACACAAGAACATCAGTGACGTCAACATCACACACTCTGACGGTTTCAACGGAGACTCTGACTTCAACCCTTTCCACCACAAGCCGGTCGTCGAGTGAAACCGCAACCACCTCAAGCGTAACTTCAACCACCTCAAGCGTAACTTCAACCTCAACTGGCTCAACCACCTCAACAGCAACATCATCAAGCAGTACCACCAGCTCCACAAGAAGCAGCACCACGGCAACTGAGAGCAGCACCTCAAGCCTCACAAGTATCACATGGAGCAACACCCTCACAACCTCCACATGGAGCAGCAGTGCCTCAGCTGGAGGGCATTGATGGAAAGTTCGTACGTTCAGCTTCTTTTGACATGTTTGCCAGCATTATGGCCTCGCATGGTTAACCGTGAACGCGTATTATTGTTCTTTCTCAAGTTTTGTGTGTCAAGTTTCAGTGCTATGCGCGGTGCAAGGCGCTACTACGACTCAGTCTCAGACCACTTCGGTTCTTGTGGATTCAGGTAGACCTGCACCAATTGCCACATCAGACATCGCTCGAAAACATGTTGACATTCCAAGATCAAGTGGGAATTACTATGGGGTTGATGTCTCACGCTTTTCGTCTTTCACTGGACATCATTGGACCACATACAACCCCAGGAGGTGGGACATCTGTTGCAGCGACGTTTGCAACCACGACCGTCACGACCGCGCCAAGCAGCGTCCCAGACTCAAGACGGAAAGCGCTTGCCTTATGATGTACGCTAAAGCTAGTTCTGATGACACAGCAAAACATAAAAAATGCATAAACAATGCAAAAATAATGCAAAACCAATCCCGAAAAAAATGCACAGAAAACGCAAAAACAAGTCACCAAAGGATGCCTTGGAATGCAAAAAA